TGAAACTTTGCACACTTGTTCATCATCATTACCCAAACCTGTAAACAGGAGGAGGTAACTGTATTAAGCATTTTGACAGAATTATGCCCCTTTTTCGACTTAGAATTTATGTTAAAGGTTTTGTAATACCTCAAATATTTTCAAAGTCCATTGACATATGGCTTTGAAACTTTGCACACTTGTTCACAATTATTACCCCAACCTATAAACAGGAGGAGGTAACTGTATCAAGCATTTTTTTACTATCAAGCGCTAAGAATAGTCGAGCGTTGCTGTCCTACCGACAGCTCTTGTTTAAATTATCAATCAATTGAATAATTCATAAAATCTAATTTGTAACTTTGAAAAATTCCTCGGCATCTTTATTAAACACGAATAACAAATTAAATAAAATGTTTCAAAGTTGATAGTGTCATATTAATACCATAAAAATATACCTTTTTCTCAATTATTGTACATATTTATTGTTTTTATCTCATATAGATAAAATGAAACATGCTATTGTTGTTGTTTTTTTTTTCGAATTGTATGTTTATGTATAATAATAATCAATAAATGTTTATTGGAAAAAAGCTTATATATCTGTAAAATATTTGTTCTGTTCTGTAACGATATCAAACATCTACTCCAAAACCGGGAGAGACCGGACAATAAACGTGTGATACTATTCGCCGGTCACTAGTAAATCCCGGTCAAAATGACCGGGAATTACCGATAGGAGTTCATCCTCTATAAATAGATTTTCGGAATGTTTAGGTCATCAACTCATCATTCTACTTAAACATACCATAATAACCCACTGTGTACTACAAAATGATAAATAAAAAAACCCGAAGAGACTGAAAAGGTTATTTCATTATTGCGAAAATCTCCAGTTCGCTATTCATTGTACATATCGCAACATTTCATTTTTAATTATAATAGTGATGACATTTTATGTATAAAAATCGAGGGTTCAAAATTGTCTCTTGAAAATGATCTTTTTATATGTATGTGCTACGTTGTTCCGGACGATAGTAGTCGGCAGTCGATGATTGACTCTAATATTTTTGACAGACTGATTGATTTTATTACTCTGATTGAGTCAAAACATGAAAGTAACTATAATTTACTGTTGTGTGGTGACATGAATGCACGTACTTCTGACAAACCAGATTTTGTGGTAGATGATAATTTTAAATACGTACAATTTTTGCCGGATGATTATATTATTGATAAAGAGTTAAAGAGATATTCTCAGGACAAAGGCCGAATGAACAATAACGGTGTTTTATTATTAGATTTGTGTAAACAGACTGGGTTACGCATCTTAAATGGTCGGGTAGGAAATGACAATTTAAAGGGTCAATATACATTTGTCGGTCATAGAGGTTGTAGTTTAGTAGATTATGTAATAGGATCACAACATTTGTTTAGTTATGTTAAAAGCTTTGAAGTATCGGACCCAAACATATTATCTGATCATTGTGTTGTATCTTTTTCATTTGAATTTGACAAACCGTATGATTGTAGAAATGATTGTATGTATGAATCTGTAAATTATAAATATGTATGGTCAAATGACCGTAAAAATGATTTTGTAAAAGGTGTGTCGTCTGCTGATTTCGTACATAAAATAAACAGTTTTAATGAAAATGTTAATTTGGCTCGAAATATTCAGGATATTGATAAAAGTGTTAGTTATTTGTCAGAATTATTGGAAGATGTTGCTTCTCCATTGTTCAAGAAAGATATCAAACAAAATGAAAATATAAATGTATCAAAGTCCGAAAAATAGTTGGTTTAGTGAGGAATGTCATGAGAAGAAAATAATTTTTAACAAAATGTTAAATAGGTACAGAGTAAATAAAAGTGATGAAAATCGAATAAACTTGATAAATGCAAGGTCACAATATAAATCCTGTATAAGAAAAAGCAAATACGAATATGACAAAATGGAAACAATGAAATTAACAAAGGCCAGGTATAAAAATGCAAAATTGTATTGGAATATGTTGAAAAAGAATGCAGGTATTAAACACTCAAATGTGCAATTGGATGCTTTTGAAAAATACTTCAAATCTGTAAACAACCCACAAAGCCAATTTTATACGCCTGATGATGATATTTTGTATTTTATTGATAGATATGAGAAAAATGAATTTAGCGTTATGTTTGATGAGTTAAATGTAAAATTTACCGAAGATGATATTATTAAGGCTATACACCAGCTTAATCGGGTAAAAGTGATGGTCCGGATTTTCTTTTAAATGAATTTTTTTATTCATGGTAAAAATATACTTGTTTCACCCTTAACATGTTTATTTAATAAAATTTTTGAACACGGGTACTTCCCAGATAGTTGGTCGGAAGGTTTTGTAATTCCTCTACATAAAAAAGGTAGTATAAACGATGTTAATAATTATAGGGGTATCACATTACTTAGCACGTTAGGGAAACTATTTACTCGTATATTGAATAACAGATTATCTAAATGGGCAGATTTATATAGTGTTTATGTAGAGACACAGGCTGGATTTAGGTCAAATATGGGAACCGTTGACAACATTTTTGTATTGCATGGCTTAATTACACATTTGATTAATCAGGGGAGGCAACTTTTTTGTGCATTTATTGATTTCACCAAAGCTTTTGATTATGTTGTAAGGGATAACTTATGGTTTAAACTAATTAAACTTGGAATTCGTGGTAATATTTTAAATATAATGAAATCAATGTACGACTCAGTCAAATCAAGAATTAAATATTGTAATAAGTTAAGTAATAGCTATGAATGTTCACTAGGCGTACGCCAAGGAGAGTGTTTGTCTCCCTTTCTTTTTTCTATGTTTTTAAACGATTTAGAAGATTGTTTCTTTCATAATGACTTGGAAGGAATAGATGTTAATATGTTTAAAATGTTTTTAATTTTATATGCGGACGACATTGTTATTTTTGCTAATAGTAGTGATGAATTACAAAAAGGTTTAAATTGCCTGGCTGATTATTGTGATAGGTGGAAACTTACAGTAATTACAGTTAAAACGAAAATTATGATATTTAAAAGAGGCGGTAGATTGCCAGATAACTTAGTTTTTTTATTATAAAGATAATACTATTGATATTGTTAATAAGTTCACTTATTTAGGTTTAGTATTCACAACGGGTGGTTCATTCACAGAAGCACAGAACACCATTGCTGGACAAGCAATGAAAGCAATTTTTAAAATGGATAAGTATTTATGTAAATTTGTTAACATTTCACTTTCCCATAGATTAGAACTATTTGATAAACTTATAATGCCTATTTTGAATTATGGTAGCGAGGTTTGGGGGTTTATTCAAGGTAATAGTGTAGAACGAGTACATATGCAATTTTGTAAACGGATTCTTGGTGTCAAAAAAGTTACTCAAAACGATTTTGTATATGGTGAACTAGGTAGAATATCATTTAAATCAGTACGTTATTACAATATTGTAAAATTTTGGTTAAAGATATTGCATACAAATGAAAATAAATATGTGAAGAAAGTTTATACATTACTGAAAAACGATTTTGAAAATTTTCCCAACAAAACAAACTGGTGTTCACTTGTAAAACATCTTCTGTGTGATTTAGGTTTTTATGATGCTTGGTTAATGCAAAGTGTGGGAAACTCTGATTACTTTTTATGTATTGTAAAACAAAGATTAACAGATCAATTCGTACAGAATTGGTCGTGTAGATTAGATAACTCGAGTAGAGCTCTGTTTTATAAACAAATATCCGACTTTAAATTTCAACCATACCTTAATTTTATTCATGTGAAAAGATTCTGTAGTAGTGTAACTAAATTAAGAGTATCATCTCATAGGCTTCATATTGAGACTGGTAGATGGACTAAACCCCATAGTACACCATTTAATGAAAGAACGTGTTTTTGTTGTAACGTCCTAGAGGACGAATTTCATTTTGTATTGGAATGTAAATTATATAGTGATATAAGAAAACGTTTAATACCTACTTACTATTGGAAAAGACCAAATATGTTAAAACTCATAGACTTATTAAATACGGAAAACATTTGTGTAGCACGTAAGTTTGGTAAATATGTGCATAGCGCTTTTGAAATTAGAAAAGAGAAGTTGTATACAAATCGTAATCAATCTTCGTGATGTCAATAAGTGTAACTTTTATAGTATATTTATTCTGTATGTATATATGTGTATTTATGTATATGTATGTGTATATGTATATGATTACATATATACATGATAGCAAATTTTAAAGTTTTCAAAAAATTACTCCACGACTCTTCTTCAGAATAATAATTTAGTGTCACGATGTAATTCATACGACTATACTTTACAGAGTAATATTGTTGTATTCTTTTTAACTCAGCATTAGTTTTCGAGCATTTAAAGAATATCTCTCTTCAAGCTGTATGTTGATCTTGTGTTTCGTTTTCGATAAGATCAGGATACTTACAGTATGCAAATTCCTATCTAAAATATTAAAGACTCATAATTTATGTTGGTCTTGTGTTTCGTTTTGACAAGATCAGGATATGACTAGTATGTAAGGACTCATATATCTAACACACATAGTTATTTTGTGACAAGGAAGAGCAGGGGTAGTTTATAGAATACAACACATACATAATTTTGTAAACATTTAGATATTATAAGAAATGGATTATTAATATACTAAGATATTTCAACATGCAAATGAATGTAAACCTTCTCCGTTGTTGTTTAAAACTTGTTTGAAATTTATTTTTGTACACTGTCTTGCCATATATATATATTGTATTGTGTATCCACACGGGCCATGTGGCCTTATGGAATTTGAAAAATAAACTTATCAAACTAACTTATCAAACTTTAATTAATAATAATCAAGCACCCTCATACCGATCGGAATGATCGGCTTTTATTATGACCGACTAAAATGCTCGAGAAGTTGCTGTCGCCCTTTCACAAAATCTGATTTCATTCCATAAAGGGCGCCGTGCTTCGGCGCGGACGCCAATAAACACAGATCAACTCTCAAATTTATTGATTATTATTATACATAAACATACAATTCGAAAAAAAAACCAACAACAACAATAACATGTTTTATTTTATCTATATGAGATAAAAACAATAAATATGTACAATAATTGAGAAAAAAGGTACATTTTTATGGTATTAATATGACACTATCAACTTTGAAACATTTTATTTAATTTGTTATTCGTGTTTAGTAAAGATGCCGAGGAATTATTCAAAGTTACAAATTAGATTTTATGAATTATTCAATTGATTGATAATTTAAAAAATGATAAAGAGAAATACAAATGTACATGTATATGTTTTAAGAATAAACAATATTATATATTAAAAGTTTAACCATAATTTACTGACTTTTTCCAGTTAAGTTTTTACTTATAATCGTCGGTCAATATGACAATTGAATTCTTAAAATAGTAGTAAACGTAAAAACTCAGTATTAAAATAGCACATAAAACACAAAAAAGAAAAGAAAACAATATTCATAAAATCTGTATTTTTTTTTATTAAAATAGATATTACAATTATTGTGTAATAAACAATTATGCTCAGCATGATCAACATGGTAATGTAACCAGTGTCATATTGTTAGTAAGTGTGAACAGATAACTTTAGAGGGGGTCTTCGCTAATAGCGATTACATAATAAGGGACAATTACACAAGTGTGGTGTTGATCATGCATTACACATATGGATTATAAATGATTGTATACATGTATATCCGTTGCTAAAAAATCATTTATGTTCATTTTTTTATGATAGCCACACTTTATCCTTGCATATCGTGGCTATTTCCAAAGACACTAAAAAAAGAATTTAAAAAAATGTTGACTCGACTGGGATTTGAACTCCAGGCCTCTCACACATTACGAGCGCGTTACCCCTGCACCACGGAGAAGTTATAAAAACAGAGGCTGAATAAAATCAAGTCATTCTAAATTTAGAATTTCCATTGCATTTCGGGTTAGGGTAATTTCGAGGTATTTTGTTCAGGGTAAACCTGTTGTTTAAAATTGAAGTAAATAATTTAGCAAAAATCTTCTCGCCCAAACAGTCCAACATGTAGAAACTATATATTCAACTACTCGGCAGTCAGATTTATTTGTGTAGTATTCGGTAATCGACATCGCTAAAAATAGCATTTTCATCGATTAAAATCATATTCATCCGCGTAATTTGTGAGTGTGCATTTATTGACAATTCTATAAGCCAACGCTACTTTTAAAGTTTGTATGTGAAGTAATTTGTTGGACACTTGTAACAAAAAATTGTTCTTTCTTTTAAATTGCTGGTTTTTAAGCAGTTTTGAGTGAGAACTACTTTGCGTTGTTAGGACTGTTAGGAAATTTTGTGTTAGACCGTGGATGTTAGCTATGTATTTACTGATCTTGCGATCAGAAAATACAAAAATCATTTCAAATCAAGCAGATACATTAACGAGACAAAATCTAAGTGTCAGTTCGACAATACATATAAAAAGTCTCATTTTAAATCACTTTTACCTGTGCGTCGTCAAAACGTGACCTTGTTTTCTCTGGGGGATTCCGTCCTTGCGCGCATGCGCAAAAATATTTACACGTGAGGCTTGTTAAAGGGTTTTCCACTAATACCACCTGTTTACAAATAAGTAGGCAATGTGATGAAAACTTGTTTGATTATCAGAATTTTGACCAATATTACTATATAAAATAATTTTATGGCTTTGATGCGTAAAATATCATGCATACAAGAATGCTATTGCATGTGAATGCGTTGGGGTAACGGTACCGGGTAATAGATACCCGCGTTTAGTCTACGCTCTATTTCCTGAATTACATCTATTTATCTCTTAGATAATGGTCTGTTCAACAATTGTAAATGAAAAATAGGTCCGATATAATAAAATTGTATAATTATAATGGGTTAGACTTTATGTACGGGAACTACTTCTCTTCATACAAAATAATGGATAATTTCGGTACCCCATATGAGGCCTCATAAGTAAGGGTTATCCTATGTTTAGAACATGATGGAATTTCCATGATTTGTGTGACGAGCCAAATATTGATGTATAACATTCAAATTTTGGTGAGTGCGCGTAATAAAAAATAATGTTTAAGTAACTATGATTTTTGTACGGGAACTGCTCGCATGCTAGTATATTTAAAAAAAAAACAAATAACATAGAACTAAGTAGATATTTATAATATAATGAGAATATGATATGAAGTTAAATTTTAAATACTTACGCACAGTAAAACCGTCCGTGTTGTGGAAGTTTATGCATTGTGTAACTAAGGTACCGCCTTTGCCCGCTGTTGCAGCCACACATGTCTTCCATAGACCAAAATTTGTAGTCCAGGTTTCACCTTCCGCGGTTAAAGAGAAATAAAACCAATATGGAATTGCCACGCCTATAATATTTAAGATTAAAGCTAATCCTAAGAGAGCGAGTCCTATTTTGTCAAATAACATGTTTGTCTCGTTTGAAATCACCTAAATGTTTAAGAGAACAAAAGACGTGGTATCTCAACGTTCAACTGTAGTTAGATCTGTAGATCTATACAGTGACACGCACACTACTTGGTTAGTCCATGTTGAGATTAAAGGTAAAATACGGTTATCAAACAAAAACGATATTGTCTCTTTGTACTGTTTGCAATATAAACAAAATAAGTTTATTTTTCCATCTAAATTACAATTAACGTAAATCACTTTATAAATAAATGTGAAAGCTGTGGTTGTCTAAAAAAACGCTTGACAATCAACAAAGGTAATACAGCATCCCCGAAAGAATAATGTAAGTGAGTGACGTCATGAACTTAATTTTCGAAAAATCGCACTCCTTTTTGTCAAGGTCGCTAAGTTACGCCATGTCGTACCATCGTCCTTTCGCATTTTCGGAAAAATAAAAGAAAGGCGACAATACAACAAGTGTGTGTGTGTGTGTTGTGTGTGTGTGTGCGTGCGTGCGCGTACGCGTGCGTGTGTGTGTGTGTGTGTGTGTGCACGTAAAGTTTCGTATCTCTGACAGTTTAAGTTAGTTAGTAAGCTTTTTATATGAATTTTATGGGGTAGAAAATATCACAAACAATGTAACCTAAGTGGGTATAAATAAGTTATCTATAAATGAATTTGTCTATATACATAGACACAACATTCTTTGAGGATATACTTTCAAATTGACTTACAATGACCCTGCTTCATAAATTACTTTTTTCAGGTCCAGTCATCTTTTTTTCTCAAAAAATTGATGTGACTTGTTACAAGTTTATTATTGTATGTCCTTATCAATATCATTCCGTTTCAGGAACCAGTAGATAAATTAACATGAACTTGAAATATCAATGCGATGTAACGATGCACTGTGTTTTTTTAAGTTTCATAACTCTGATAGGTTTGTTTAAGTCTGTTTGGTCTTTTTATTCAATTTGGTGTCAGTAGATTATTGTTTTCTAAGTTATCTGCCCATTTGTTTTTACCAAAATCATGTTTGGCATATTATTACACTCTTATTTTATCAAGGCAATTAATTGTAATTATTATCTGTTCACTGATGAAACACAATAAAATATAGGTTTAGATCAATTTTGACATCAGAAAACTCCATTTTCACAAAGATGAAAGTGGTGTGTAAGAGTATGAATCACCTTCAGTGGAAATTTTGAATATGATTTATATTAATAATGTCACATGAGTAACTCAATACGAAAGAAATTATACTTGAATACTGTTGAATCACCCTTAGGATATGTTGCCCTCTTTTTAAATCTTATCTGTGATATGCAGGCTTCATAACCTCAGATATTCTTTCAAAATTCCATTTTATTAAGTTCCGCCCATTGTTTTCTCATTATCTCATTATTCGATTCTACTGTTCGTCTATGTAAATTTAGTCTCTTTATGATTTTTAAGTGACGATAACTAACTTTCATTCCATGAATCAACAGAAGACTAGCTAATATCTCTTTGTTTTTAGTATTTATATCCCACCGTGAAATACCGAACTATCAAATACACCATCGCTTCTTCTGTTGCCAATGCAAGAAAATGTCATAGAAATAATGATGAAAGATAACACCAGCATCTGCAATTAGATGAAACAATACAATTTCTTAAAATGTTATATCTTGTTCACAAAAAATCCAATTCTGACAAACAGATGCACATAGATTGAACCCTGATTTATATTTTATGGTATAAGCCCCATAATGGGCACTATAAGGAACTATAAAATTGACAACATAAGTCAGTTATATACCTCAAAAGACACAAGAATGCAAAATTTAAACAAAGTTTACCGTATGGTTTACGAGTTATGGAGATTTTTCTAAAGTGAAACTTGGCTAAATAGAAGGGCTCTTTTTCAGAAATGGGAAACACTAATTATTCTATTATATAATCATTATGAACTAATAAAAAAAAAATAAAAAACATATAATAGCATTCAGCTAACAAATGACCCAACAAAATTATTGTTTCTACTCAAAATGTTTGAAATATGTATATAAATGTTACTCTACCCCACCCATTTTCAGAAGTTGTTTGTTCATTTTTCTACCTGGAGGGCCTTATTCAAAATATTCCTAAAATTTACTCAAATCAGGGACTGTTTTCAAAGTTTGCATTAATTTTTTAAAAGGTATATTAGTTGCGCTTGTCAAATGTATAAGATATATAAAATACTTTTACCATCTTGTTTTTATTTTATTAAACTTTGAAAAGGTACCATATTTGGTAATAAATTTGACAGAATTTAGCCAATAAATACCAATAATAACTTTATAATTAAAATAAAACACTTTTTTCTTATTAAGAGTGATCTGAGAGGCACAAATAGTGTTCAAAGATATAAAAAAAAAGAAAGAAAACAAAGTTGCCTCTTACGGGGCTTGAACTCGCGCCCCCTCAGCTTCAATGCTGTTGACAGTGGTTCTAGCCTATTTGAGAACTCTTCAAAGTGGAGGTAATGCATTAGGTGGGTCATACCTTAAATATAAAGATTTGGTTAAGTCCCGGGGTCTAATTCAGGATATGGCCGGATTTATGTTTTCTAGATCACCATATATGTTCTTTTTAAACAAACTTATATGATTAATTTTCCTACAAATACTTTAAAGGATTTAAAATGAAAATAATGATATATTTTAAACTTATATATGTAAAAGAGCACTTACCATTTTTTCACGCAATTTCATTACCCATTCAATATGGCAACAAATGACGTCATGGCCACGTGGCATATAAGTTGAAATCGTGAATTCACAAAGTTGAATTCGTGAAGTTGAAATCGTGAATTCGTGAAGTTGAATCCGTGAATCCATGAAGTTGAGATCGTGAATTCATGAAGTTGAAATCGTGAATTCGTGAAGTTGAAATCGCGAATTCATGAAGCTGAAATCGTGAATTCCGTATGTTGAAAACGTCAATTCACGAAGTTAAAAGTGTGAATTCTTGAAGATGAAGTCAGGAATTCATGAAGTTGAAATGACCCTACCGGTCTTTCTTAGTCATATGTAAATTTTGTCGCGACGTTACGCGGCAAATTCAGAAAAAAATAAAATCACTTAAAAAGCTTGAAATTTAAAGAAAATTTATTATTATTAATAATTATTGTTTTACATAAAATTATAAGATTAAAATATATTTCATCCGCGAACACAAGCTCTGATATTTTCACTCGTGACTACGCCATTTAACATAACGTATCAAATAATGTCAGGTTTGGTGTCCAAAAGAAAGAACAGGCAAAGTTCTGTCAAACGTCTTGGTTGTAAGATGTATCCAATGATACACAAATGGCTGGTCACATGATAGAAACTATAGATATTAATAAGTATAGACAATATAACCTCCGTCAAATCATCAAAACAATCATTTTTTTGTTTGCGAATAGAAAGAAGAAGTATCCTAAACACATTTCATTTTCGACAACTGCAATGAAAAACGGTCGTAATCATTGTTTAATGCTAATATAACTAATAAATAACTTATAAATAAACGTAAACTTAATATATATTAAAGAGATTATATAAATAACAACACTAAATTTAGTTCAAACTATATTTGAAACAATCAAAATCATTTGGTACCAAAGAGGCGTCAATATGATCCTAAAAGTTTGATATGGCCTGCCAAGCTGTTATCAAAACACAATAAAATTACAGATTTAAACCATTTAAGACTTAATTAGAAGTGACACTAATGATTTGAACTGGTACGTAGAATAAAATCATCACATAGCGACCAGCCTTAACAACCAATCAAATTCCACGAGAATACGAGAAAGCACTTGATTTTAATAATTTTGGTGTCTAAAGAGATGTTGAATTACATACTGAGATAAAACAAAGATCACAAGCTTTTCATTGGTGTAATAAACAATAAAATTGGACAATAAATCACAATTAAATTGCGGCTTAAATTATGGCAAAATTTGCATCTTTTGGAATTGCATAATACGATTTTACTCGAAGAAAAGGGAAACAGCTGGTGTTTTTTTAACTTTTACACTCATTTTACCTTGGCTATTTAAACAGTTTTATTATATGCCCGAAAGGGCATATTATGTTATACCCCCTGGCGTCCGTCTGTCTGTCTGTCCGTCCGTCCGTCTGTCCGTCCGTCCGTCCGTACGTCCGTCCGTCCGTTAGCAATTTGGTTTCCGGAGCATAACTTAAGTTCCATTTGGCCCACAATGTTCAAACTTCATAGGATGATTGCCCATATTGGGTAGAAGACCCCTATTGATTTTGGGGTCAAAAGGTCAAAGGTCAAGGTCACTATGACCTTAAACCTGAAAACAGTTTCCGGAGCATTACTTAAGTTCCAATTGACCCACAATGTTCAAACTTCATAGGATGATTGTCCATATTAGGTAGAAGACCCCTTTTGATTTTAGGGTCACAAGGTCAAAGGTCAAGGTCACTATGACCTTAAAACTGAAAACAGTTTCCGGAGCATAACTTAAGTTCCATTCAACCCACAATGTTCAAACTTCATAGGATGATTGTCCATATTAGGTAGAAGACCCCTATTGATTTTGGGGTCAAAAGGTCAAAGGTCAAGGTCACTATGACCTTAAAACTGAAAACAGTTTCCGGAGCATAACTTGAGTTCCATTCGACCCACAATGTTCAAACTTCATAGAATGATTGTCCATATTGGGTAAAAGACCCCTATTGATTTTTGGGTCACAAGGTCAAAGGTCAAGGTCACTATTACCTTGATACTGAAAACAGTTTCCGGAGCATAACTTAAGTTCCAATTGACCCACAATGTTCAAACTTCATAGGATGATTGTCCACATTGGGTAGAAGACCCCTATTGATTTTGGGGTCAAAAGGTCAAGGGTTAAGGTCACTATGACCTTAAAACTGAAAACAGTTTCCGGAGCATAACTTAAGTTCCATTCAACCCACAATGTTCAAACTTCATAGGATGATTGTCCATATTAGGTAGAAGACCCCTATTGATTTTGAGGTCAAAAGGTCAAAGGTCAAGGTCACTATGACCTTAAAACTGAAAACAGTTTCCGGAGCATAACTTGAGTTCCATTCGACCCACAATGTTCAAACTTCATAGAATGATTGTCCATATTGGGTAAAAGACCCCTATTGATTTTTGGGTCACAAGGTCAAAGGTCAAGGTCACTATTACCTTGATACTGAAAACAGTTTCCGGAGCATAACTTAAGTTCCAATTGACCCACAATGTTCAAACTTCATAGGATGATTGTCCACATTGGGTAGAAGACCCCTATTGATTTTGGGGTGAAAAGGTCAAGGGTTAAGGTCACTATATCCTTAAAACTGAAAACAGTTTCTGGAGCATAACTTAAGTTCCATTTGGCCCACAATATTCAAACTTCATAGGATGATTGTCCATATTGGGCAAAAGACCCCTATTGATTTTGGGGTCACTAGGTCAAAGGTCAATGTCAC